GAAAAAACAACGTCCAGTGTATAACATTACCCCGGGAAAACTGGGTATCATGGCTAAAAATTACTCGAAATGGATTCTCTTGGGAATGAGGCTAACTGGCTCTCTTAGCTTTCATCCTCTCCTGTTATGAATACTTTGCTAGTCAGTTTATTACATTACTCATGGCCACTTTTTTGTTTCTAGTTTTACAAGCGTTATAGCTATTGCTTTTGCCGCTTTTAAGGGTGGTGCCCGCTATATTACTGATAGTGATAACCAAGAGTGTAGTAATTCATTTTCGTTTTTAAGTTACAAGTTCAAAGGTATGTGATATTAAAGTTAGCCTCTTTAACTCTCTTAGAACGATCTAGAGCTGAGCCACTGGTTCTGCCGATGGATAACGTGACGGTTTATGAGGGCGAAAACGCCACCTTACTGTGTAAAGCGTTCAGTGATTCGATGCCTCATTTCCAGTGGCTGCGATGGCATTCATCTCCTTCAAACAGTACGACCAACAGTACAATCGAACATCCACACTACGAAGTAATTAAACGTAACGTACAAGATTCAAACCATCATTTAGTTTTTCCACCAACCAACAACAAGTTTGATTTCCATGGAGTGAAGCTGACTTTGGTTAATGTAACTAAGAAGGACGAAGGAAAATACGCTTGCATTGTGGGAAATGCGGTCGGTTACGCCGTGGAGCTGGCCTACATCATTGTTTACAGACAGAACGGTAAGTAATCATTGCTAATTGTGAATGAGTGGCACAGTTTTCTCACTTTCGGAATTCTTTGACTTTTTCCTGCCACTTTACGAAGCTATCAAACCGGAACATTACTCAAACCAGCATCCACGTTTATCGAAAAAGAAAAACAAGTTTGATTTCCATGGAGTGGAGCTAATTTTGGTTAACAACAAAGAAGCATGAAGGAAAATACGCTTGCATTGTGGAAAATGCATTGGGTTACGCCATAGAACAAGCCTAAACCATTGTCTGCAGACTAAACCGTAAGTAATTGCCTGGGCAGGCTTTCCGGGCAGAGCCGGAAAGCCGAGGAGGCACCATAGAATCCGCGCGTGTATGAAGAAATGGATATAAATATTGTAGAGGTTAGAAAATCGATTTGACCAAACTTTGGCGAGTCTAAGCGTAGCGGGTAATTTTTCAGCATGCAGATAAAGTGCTCTGGGTAATTTATTTCACGAGGTTGCTTCGGCAGGTCCTTCGGGAGTATTCTGTGCGCCCTCAAGAACGGTTAATCCAAACGTAACCTTTTAAAAGTGCCTTGCTTCTGACATTGATTTCTTTCAAGTTATTGAGCAGTACTGGAAATAATTTTGCCTTACACAACTTGATTTGTAAGACATGTATCAGCCACGGGGTAGACGACAGACTCGATCGAAAAACACAACACGCAGACAGATCAGAATCTCAACAGA